TTATTATTATTATTATTATTATTATTATTATTATTATTATTATTATTATTATTATTATTATTATTATTATTAGTATTTTAATTTTGATTATTTTAATTTTAAGAGATATTTTAATTATTATTTTATAAGTTTTTAAATTAAGAAAATATAAAATATATTTTACTAATATAATTTTTACTATTATAATTATAATATATAATATTAGATTTATTATTTTATTAATTTGATTATTAATTATTATTATTACTTTAATTATTATATTTTTTATTAGATTTTATATAATTTAATTTACTAATTAGATCTTGTAAAACTTTAGTAAAAGCACTTTATTTTCTAGTAAATTAAGTTTAAACTAGTAATAAATTTATTTAAATAGATTATAATTAATTTTTTTTAATATTTTAGTAATTTTAATAATATTTTTTATAATATTATTAATATTAAAATTAATTTATTTTTGAATTTTTAACTTGAGTTCTTTTTTGAATATTTAAATTTTATATTTCTCTAGATATACTTTACTAAAATCTACTTTAGTTTCTAATAATTTATATATTTTTCTATAATTTTTATTTATTTAAATATTTCTAGTTTATTTTATTATTATTGTATCTTACAAGATAAATAAAACTTTAAGATAAATTAATATATAAAATTATGATTATTATAATTTTTATTAGATTATTTGATTAGCTCATAATTATTATTCAAGACTTATTAATTAAATTAAGTAATAGCTAATCTCTTTAAGTATTTTCTTATTATTTTAATTTTTTTTTATCAATAATTTTATTTACTTTTATAATTATTTTAAAGTTATATAATTATTCAATAGAATTCTAATTATTATTTTTAAATTTATGAATTAAGATAAAAATTTTTTCTATTTATTGAATTTATTTGTTTATTAAAAGTTTAAATTAAATTATTTATATCAATTATCTTGCTTAATTCTTTTTTTAACTTAAAATTTTAAACTTTTTTATTAATAATAATTAATTTTTTAGATTTTTCAAAATTACTATCTGACTTAATAAATTGATTAATTGAGAAAGTTTTAAAATTATTTATTTTTTCAAGAATTATAAGAATATTATTAATTAGATAAATTTATTATTTAATTATAAATTTTATATTATATACAAAAATATTAAGTAATTTAATAATTTTTTTTAAAATTATATAGATTAAAAATAGTATCATAATTAGTTATAATTTAGTTATAATTTTTTAATTAGTTATTATAATTAATTATAATTAAATTATAATTTTTTGATTAATTATTATAAGTTATAATTAAGATATTATCTCTAGTATAAATATATAATTTTATTATATTATAAAATTAAAAATATCTTATAATAGTTTATTATATAAAATTATATAATATTCTTAAATTCAGATTAGAAAATTAATAAATTTTTTATCTAAATTTTGATTAGTAAAATAGTAATATATAGTGATAATTAAAAATAATACAATGCTTAAATTTTTTACTAATTATAATTAGTAAAATACGTATTTTTTCTTACATATAAAAGTTTTTAATTTTATTAACAAATAAAAAATATTTATTAGTAAAATTAAAAACTTTTATATATAAGAAAAAATACATATTTTATTAGTAAAAAATTTAAGTGTTGCATTATTTTTGATTGTCACTATATATATTTTATAATTATTAAAAAAAAGATCTTAAAAATCTTATCTTTTATATAATTAAAATAATTAGCTAATTAAATATAATAAAAATCTTATTTAAAAAGAAAAAAATTAGTTATATAATAATTATATATTATATATTTATTTTCTTAATATAATTTATTTTAATTATTATAAATTTTTTTAAGTTTTAATAATATAATAAATTTACTATTTTTGAAAATAATTTAGTAAATATTTTTATAATAAAAAAAATAAAATTTTATATAAATATTCAAAATAATAAATATTTAAAATTTATTTATTTTTTTAAATAATTTTATATAATATTTATAATTATAAAGTAAAATATAAGTTTATCTTAATATTAAAATAAAAGAAAATATTTTAATTAATAAGAAATATTATAATTAATTAAAAATATTTTAATATTTAATAATTAAAATAATATAAAAATATTATTATTTGATTTATTTAATTATAATAAATTAAATAATAATATTTTTATATAATTTTAATTACTAAATATTAAGATATTTTTAATTAATTATAATATTTCTTAATTAAATTTTAGAGTTATTAGTAGAAGAAAGATCAAAAATAAAAGAAATAATAATAATAAAATATAATTATAATAATATTATCAAATATTATATAAGATTATATATTATATAAAATTTTAAAATTATTAAATATTTTTAATTATTAAATATTAAGATATTTTTAATTAATTATAATATTTCTTAATTAAATTTTATAAAATTATTAAATATTTTTAAAATAATAAATATTATTTTTTGATTTATATTTTAATTATAAATATATCAAGAATAATATATAATATCTAAGAACTAATTTATATATTATATAAGATCTATTGCTTTTTAATAAATATTATCTAATAAAAAATTCAATAATTAATAATATTATTATTTTTTATATTAACTATAATATTATATATATTTTTAATTTTAATATTTTCTATATAAAAATTTGATATAATATTTATATATAAAATAAAATTTTTATTATATTATAAATATAATAAAATACTAAAATAATTTATAATAAAATTTATATTATTATAAATTAATAATTCATATAATATTAATTTATTATTTAAAAATATTATTCTATTCTTATATATTTTAATAATTATTTAATATTAATAAAATAATAAGCTATAAAATTGAATTAAGACTATTCACTTTTTACTTGAATTCTTTATGAATTTCATTTAAATTCTAACTCATATATATATAACAAGATCATACAATCTGAAATATATTTCTTTTATTAAGCCTTTATAAAATAATTTCTATTATAACAAAATACTTGAAAGAGAAAGATATTGGTAATTTAATATTAAATTATATAATTTTAGAATATTATATTAAGTAAAAGATTGTAACTTATAATTTATTGGTTTAATTTGTATTAGTTGCAAAATATTATTTTATTTTCTAAAGTTTAATTACATATTTAAGTTTTATTGGATAATTTTAATTCTTAATCCTATTTTACAAGTTAATAATAATATATTCTTATGCTATAGAATTAAGAGGAGTCCTCGAAAGCTCGGTCCTTAAGTATATTTTATTTTCGTTTATTGTTCATTTGATTGTTTAAATTACCCAATTAAAATTTATAGAAAATATACACGGTGACTCTAAAAATCTATTAGTAAAAAATCCACTATATCGAGAGTTTTTAGTGAATTTACTATATCGGATGAAGGCAATTTTGGATGTCATCCACTATATCGTGAGTTTAATTAGTCTCCGCTATTAAGGAGGTGGGAGTTACTGTATAAGAGGAAATTTGTTTTTGTAAAAAAGACAAACAAATACTGTGTTGTCTTAAAATTTATAAAATATAATTTAATGTCAAGTGTTTGTATATAAATTGTAACGAAAAAATTAATGAATGAAGGTGGTCAGTATATAATTTCAAAATCAGTGCTGGAATTAAGACGCAAAAGACAGCATAATTAAATAAGACTATAATTAAAATATAAATATTATCATTTCTGCTTCTATCACTAGCACTAGTATTAAGTTAAACGAATCAATGTAAAGAGTGTATTGTTTTTAAAATAAAGTATTAATTAATAATTAAAATTACATGAAGGAATAAATTAAACAAAAACAAATAAATTAAAATATATAATTAAAAGAATAAAGGCCAGCTGGTTTATTATAAAGTACTCGCAATCTTACTCTTTTGTTTATGTAGAAAGTCTTTTTTAGAGGAAAATAATAAAATGAAGATAAAAAGGACCGAAAACCTTCCAATGGTATTAAAATGGCCAGCAGGTCCATAGAAAGTTTTTTATGTAACTTTTGTACACGTGCTCTATTTTAGATTTAATAGGATATTTGTCAAATGTCATTAATTTATCTGCCTGTTAACTCGTCTTTCTCATTTGCTCGCTCAGCCGGCCATTTCTTAATTATTTTGAATCTATTGAGATGATAATACTGGTGGTGTCGGTGGTGGAGTTAGATTTAGAGTTTCCCTAATCTGATCGATTACACTTGGCCCATGATGTGCTGCATTCGGAGTTTTATGTACGTTTGTCGGCGTTATTTTTGTCTGTGCAGCAGGTTGTTGATTATATGAAACAATTGTGGGATTTGGCGTGGTTGATACTGAAGGAGTAGATGAAGAGAAAGCTGAAGAAGATCCTAAATAACTTAAATTATGTGATTCAGGTATTTTTTGAGCTTCATTTAAAGCAGCAATCACACTTTCAAATTCTTCAGTTCGTGATGGTGCATGTTTTCCATCAATTCCCTCGCCATTAATACGATCAGGCAATCGACTCCATCTTGAATCAATATAATCCTCATCAGTTGTTGGGCTCGATAAAGATTCCAAATCTTTATGAGAAATATCCCATTGAGATTTCAATATATCCAGTTCATTAGCCAATGAATCCAAAGCACCACTATTTCGTGGACTGCTATCTCGCATATCATCTTCAATGCCCCGATATGTGTCTACTGCATGTTCCATTTGATCAAGTAATAGGGCAATTTTATTCTCGGCTTCTTTCACCTTTTGTTCGAGCTCAGAATTTTCTTTTTCAATCTTTGATCTTTGAGCATGTGATTCGGAGATTTCACGCTCAAGTTTCATGCGATGAGCTTCCCATTGATTACGTTCGAATTCAAGACGAGCAGAATCAGGTGTACTTCTAAGTAAATTGACATCTTTTCCTTGTAAGACTAATTTTAATTCGTTATTTGATGCTAATACATCTTCTAATTCACTTTGAGTAGATGCCAATGCTTCATTTAATCGAACAACTTGTGATTCCGAGTTTTTCATCTGCTCTTTAAGTTGTGCATCCGATTTTCGAAGTGCATCATGCTCCTTACGTAATACTTCATATTCTTTACGTAAGACTTCGTATTCTGCATCCATCATATTTCTTTCGTCAGTGGCTCGTTCGAGTTGTGCTTGTAATTCATTAATTTGTTGTTGGAAAGCTTCTTTTTCTCTTATGAAATCTTTTCGTTGTTCTTCGAGTCGAGCAGTTGCATATTCTTGCAGTTTTGATTCTCGAACGCCTTTCCTTACTGACATAGTTGCCTCCGTTTCCGCTAATTTTTCTTCTAATTCTTCATTTTTTTCTTGAATTTCCGTCAATTTCTCGTTGATTTTTGAGTTTTCTTTTTTTGCTTTTGTCAATTCTTCTTTCATGCGTCGTAACATTTTTTCAGTACCTTTTACGTAATGTACGGCTGTTTGATAATCAGCTTCCACTTGTTTTAATCGATCACGAGTTTCCATTAATTTTCGTATGGAATCGTCACCGCTTCCGCTGCTGCTTCGATTATCGTCGGAATCTATTTGTGGATTAGGAGGACTACTGGATCGATCTATTTCTTCGAGGAACTTTATCTTTTCTTCATCATCTTTTGTTTTCTGGAGTAATCTATTATAGTCACTCTCAAGTTCAACTAATTTTGACTCTAATTCTTTATAGCGAATGACCATACCTTTGCTGCCTGCGCCATCATCTAATATTCCTTTGTCTAACATTACACCCCTCATCATTCCCACTTTTACTTCTGCATCCTCGAGTAGTCTTGATTTTTCTAATAACTCATTTTCTTTTTCACGTATTCGATCCTTTAGTCTCGCCATTTCATCTAAAGCTTCAGCTAATTTCCGTTGTAGGGCAGCAGTTTCGGATCTTGCTTTCATGCTAGCAGCCTCCATCTGTGAAATCTTTACCAATGCTTCAGCGAGCGAATCAGATGCAGTGTTCGCTTTAGATTGTGTTTCGATTTGCAATGTTTTAAGTGAGGAGACTTCTTCTTGTAATTGAGTAATTTTGGCTGCAGCTTCTGATGGATCATCCGTAAACCCCAAGACCGCAGTTCTGGTTGTGTTTAATAATTCGGTCATGCCTTCTTGCATCATTATACGCACGGCATCAACTTCTTTTTGAGATTTTCCCAGTAATCGTTCATTATCTTCGGCTCTTGACTTTGCACGTTCTAAATCTCGCATTTTTATATCCAATTCTGCACGGAGCGCGGCTGCTTCTTTTTCTAAATTCGTGATGTCTTGGCGTGCTTCTCGCCATAATTTTTCTGCTTCTTTAGCACGTTCATTGGCGGCAATAAGAGCATTATTAGCTTTTTCAAGTGCTCGTTGATGTTGTTCAAGAGATTGTTGAAGATTATTAACCTGATTTCGTGAACTTGAACTTTCCGTGCGATATTGCGCTAATTCTGAATTTGCTTCAGCTAATCGAGAATTTAACTCTCGTATTTGATTCTCAGCAGCCGTGGCACGTGAATGTAAATCAGCAAAATCTGTTACTGCTGCTGCGTGTGCAGCTTCTGCTTCCTCGGCGCGTGTTGTTGCAGTTCTAGCGCGTTCTTCAGCAGATTCGCGTGAAGCCTTTTCATGATTTGAGGACTGTTGATATTGAATTAATTTCGCTTCGAGAGATTCTTTTTCTGTCAATGCCTGCGTTAAACGTTTTTCAAGGTCTTGCGCTCTTTCAACTTCTATCGCAGCAAGTTCTGACTCTGATGCATTAGTCAGTGCAGTTAATTTTGCTTTGAAATATGCGGCTTCCTGAAGTGCAGCTGTACGTGCACGCTCGGACTCCGTGATCTTTTGAGAAGCTGCTTGTGCTTGATTTGCAATCGAAGCCTAATAATTTTATTATAAACATATTAATAGTTAGCAATTTTTTGGCTGAATATGTATCTTTTTATTCGTTTTGCTCTTACCTTTGCTTTCTTTAATTCTTGTTTTATCTTAATGATAGCTTGCAAAACTTTTTGTCTTTCTGAACCATCATCACCAAGGTCCATCAATTGATCTAAATCAATTTTTTCTGGTAGTATACTATCTCTATCTGTTTCCGGCGTATATCCTGATTTTCTTGCTAAAGCCAATTCTATTTTCAACCAATTTTCACGTTTCTGAAGTTTCGATATCAAATTGTCCCGTTCAGCAAGCTCATTCAATAGATTGTCACGCTCTTGATTTGATACAGGAGCTGGGAAATGATCCGCCAATTGCATATCGTCTTCAAGAGGTGCTATTATTGGGGATCTTACTGTATTAATGCTACTAGTTTCACTTGATGACAGAGGCGACAACGAACCGCCATATAGCATACTATTAGCTGGTAATTGGGTTGTTATGGCTAATGGTGATGACAAGGCCGGATTAGGTGTGCTGCCAAAAGGGGAACCACGTCCAGTTGATGTAGCTAAATTTACAGAACGAGGAGGCGTTTGCCGAGGATTTTGATAATCATTTAGACTAGAATCGGAATCTTGATTTACAAGCATCGGTCTCTTTTCTATTGGCATAAGATGTCCTTTTACATTAATACTATTATTTTCATCAAAACTCTCTACACTATGTTGTTTCTGAATATTTCTTCCATCGTCATAATCGAAAACCGCTGATTGTCCATGTGGAGATTGAGGTAATGTATTTTTTTCAGTAAAACGAACTAAATCCGGATGAGTGTTGATTTTGGCGTAATTGGCATTCTTCATGACATTATTATTCTGAATTTGAGGACTCCTTGCTATCATCCCGTTTACATCAATATCTGTTTGAGATCTTGGAACTGGACCTGTGTATTGGCGTTTTGGATGTCCAATAGCACGTGGATTTGATTGTGAACCTGCTATTTCTTGAGGTGGTAATCGAGGTGATGGAGATGAATATCCTATATTATTTTCTGGTCCCCTAAAGAGTGGTGAAGGTTGTCGCGGAAGTGATTGACCATCCGTACCAAACATACGGGGTGATCCTTGGCTTGAAGGTGATTGACCCTGAGATTCTGAGCTGTTAATTGACCGCGGTGACGGCTGAGATCTGTCATCATATAAATTAGACAATTCAGGGCGTATAGGAGCCAACATCGGACGTTGATAAAATGCATCATTTTCGTAAATTATTTGTTGTGGTGGTGGTGTTGTTTGAAGTTGTTGCTGATTATTCACTTTAACCTGTTTTCTGATGGGACCAGGAGGTTGGTTAATGATGCCGGCATTTCCACCACCACCACCACCAGAACCACGAATTATTTCTGATGTTGGACCTCGAGAAGTCGGAAATTGAAGACTTCTTGGAGAAAGTGGCTCTCGATTTCCCTGTTCCATGCTTCCTCTTTCAAGGCCCGGTGCTGGTGATGAGAATCCATTATTTGGATATTGTTGCTGCAGCTGTTGAGGCAGCCTTTGAAGTGGTTGTTGCGTTTGTGGTGGTCTTGAATTTGAATCATTGGGATACTTAATTTTTCCTAAAAATAAATTACAAGATCACCACAATATTAATATTCATAGAAATTTTTAAATCAAAAGATATTGGTAATAAGAAATAGTAAATGATTTTGACATACCAGTATCCAGAACATGTATCAAGAATTCTTCATCTGGCTTTGGGAATTTACTAGATTCACCACCTAATACAAAAACTTTTTCCCGTGCTGCAGCCATAGCACTTGAAAATCGTGCACTTGGCGATGGTCCCATTTTCTGAAACATATACCATCGATAATCTATTAAGAGGAGAGATTCTAATTTATAAATTATTTTCGTATGAAAATCGATTCTTTGAAATTATATGCGAGAACTCACTGCTTATTCGAAATGCGGCAAGATCGGATAATTCTTCTCGATTAATGTTTCGGCCACCAAAAACATACATAACATCACCTACAAGACAAGCTCCGTGTCTTTCACGAGCAACAGGAATATAGCCAATGCATTCTAACTTATTCCATATATTGCTACGAATATCATAACACCATGTATCGTTGTAACATTGATCACCATCCGTGCCACCAAATATGTATATTTTATTGTCGTATGTACATGCGATGTGTCCAGCTCGACCATTAGGCGCCTCACTTGCAGGTGAAATTGAAACCCAGTGTGGTGTAGGGGAATTTACTTTTATAATTATGATATTTATCGAAATATTCGATTAACGAATTATAGCTTAAAAAATGTTAACAATGACTTATAATAATTCATTAAATTAAAAAATCATTACTAACGTGTTGTCATATCAAAAGCCATTAAATTATTAAAATAATAATTATCCACCTGACCACCAAAAATATACATTGTCGTACCAACAACTGTTGCTGTATGACCGAAACGGCCAATCGGAATTTCACCTAATATGTTTGGTTTAGTCCATTCTTTTGATACTGTCATGTTTTAATTTGATAGAAAAATAAATTCATTAATTATTAGATTTATTAAAATATTGGCTATAAAGTATTAAAAAATTAGTGATCGTACCTGTATTCAGTATATATAAACTATCATCAAGTTTTTCTTCGGGATTTAAAGGTATCCCTCCCCATACTAATACAATAATTATTAAGAATTATTACTTTTATATTTGAATTTTAAATTAAATTTAAACCTAAATCTCTACTAACCAATCATATGCTCTCCTATATTAACGTGGGTATGCTCACTTCGTGGTGGAGGTATTGTCCCCGTTGTTGTTATAGAACTAACTTTAAGTGAATCTGCAATGTAATTTGTGATTAGCGTAAGCATAAATCTAATAATAATAAATCACCATAAATGAACGGTGGATGGGATTTGATGGTCAAATTCCCTCCCCCAAATGCTAAATACCGTTACGTCTGAGCAAATGGAAAAGATTAAACTTACTAGCATCTACCAAAAAGACGTCATTGCTCGCCTTTCCTTGTGAAATTCCTCCAAAAATATAAATCTCATTATTTCGTGCATTCTGACTAGCGGAATGCCCGAATCTCGGAAACGGGTTTAGATTTTCAAGTTTTTTCTGTGACCATGGATATGCGCTACTATTTTGTTGTTTTTTAGAGCGACTTGAGGTTGTTTGTTCTTTTTCTCTTTTTTTGCTCTCGTTCTCTATCTCTCCCATTTCTCGCTTGTATAAGTTATTCATTTTTATTTATCAAAGTACTTCACTCATGTATGCAGGATGCAAGGGTTAGGGTAAAGGGTTTATGAAAAGGATTTTTTTAGTTCGGGAAAGAGGTTGTACAAAGGATTTAAATCAATCTGGTTCTTTGACCAAAGATAATGAACCCGCGAGAACTTTGTGTCTCGTGTGTAAAAGTTTATTAGCACGTTGAAGATGAGTGTGCTGTAAGGCGATTCCTCGATCGCTTTTTCTTTGCTGTTCTTTTTTCGGGAGACAGACAAAGTGTCAAAAGTTTATTATTGGGCGAAACTAAAAAAAAAATCTGTATTATTTTAAAGTATAAAGTACAAAATGTGTAGAAATTCGAAAAACTTCTACAATCGTATTGGCGCAAATACACATCCGGCCACACATGCACACACACAAGCTCACAAACAAGCAACAAACAGCATACATTATTATAATACAAGCTCAAATTTCGGTTTTTGAAATTGATAATTTATTTTACAAATTAATTGTGAAATGTTCCAAGACATCGGGTCAAAGTATCATCAATTATTTGCATGCCTTTCATCTGACGAGGAATGTCACACCCAAAAATCGATGCTTTTTGTTCAATAACAGTTCCATTATTGGTAATCTGCTTTGCTTATTTGTCCATTTTAAATCACTGCATAAAAATACCCCGGGTACGACCTTCATAAAATTCTTGATTAAAATATCGCAGCCTTATGAACTTGATTGCATTTGATGATGCGAAAAGAATTATTGCCTTATTTGGGGTAATTCGGGGAAGGCTAAAACGGAGCAGTTTCATTTATTATCAAATTCATTATGAATTTTGTTAATTAGATTAGCTTGTGAAAAACTAACCCATACTAAAATTTGCGCTGAGCATTTTTACTTAGAAGTTGGAAGTTAGTTGTCATAGTAAAATTTCACGTTATTTTAATTTGCAATTAGGATTGGTCTATTTACATGTGACTGCAACATATCCCCCTATTTGAAACCAAAAAAAAAGGCCGAGACGCAAATCATAAATTTTTATTTTTGATCAGCCCCGGCAAAGTATTAAGCACATATCACGTGGATTCACGGATTTAAACAGTTATTTAATTGGTCGTTGCGCGGCAAATTAATGTAATTATAAAAATTGCTGCAAAACGCACATCAAATTCAAATATTCCTTTCGGAAGATTAGCTATTAATTATCGCGCATTTTTATACACCGGACCAGTGTTGGAAATCCCACTGTTCTCAATGTTCTAAAGAACATTGAAAATACTTTGAAAACATAATATTTTAAAATTGAATTTTCTATTAGAGAACATAATTTATGTTCTCTATTTGAATAATACTTTAATATATTTTTTCAATTACATATTTATTTAAATTTTTGATGTTCTTAGAAAATGACCAATCATAATCTAATGAATTAGGATTGGCAGGTTGCATATTGCAGCCAATAAGATAGAACTGAACTTTCTTTGATCTAAGCTCGAGACGCGTTTACATTTCATTTCCTTTCATACCAAAAGATGAATTTTACATTCTCAAGACGCACGGAGCAAGCACAAAGACGTAAATCAATTGCCCTAAGAGGACAATCAGTTCTTGTAAATGAAAAATCACCTATAGAATGCCTAAAAGAGCCTATTTTTCAACTCGCCTCTTCAATCGAAACTTTACAAAAAAAATTTCGAGGAATTGCAAATAGTTCATGATTCGCTTGTTGAATTTAATGAATCTTTTTCGGCTTTTCTATATGGATTGAAAATGAATGCCAGTTGTATAGAATTTGATGAGGTGTATATATATTTTTTTATAAGAAAAGAGTTCTGTTATGAATTAGTTTGTAAAATGACGTTATATTTGCATTTTTTATATTGAAGGCCCCGACAAAGGAAGCTTTCTCTAGATATATAAATAAAAAAGGTAAAATCATTATTATATTCTAAAATTACTTTCTAAAGAAATTTTAATTTTTTGAATAAATATAACCTAAAATTTTATTAGTAAAAAAAATGTTTTTGGTTTTTTGTATAATATTCTAATACGCGAACATGAGAATTAGTAATTTAATTAATATCTATATTTTATTTATATTGTTTAGCGGGGACACCCAAAAAATCTCCTTTTAAGTCGCCACGCAAATCCCCTTTCAAATTCAAATCACCACGTAAAATACCCGCTAAGACACAACTCACTCCATCCCCCGTCAATAAACATTTTCAATTTCCTACTTCACTTATTAAAAATATAAAATCACCCGAATCAACGCCCATTCCAACACCTACTAAAATGCCACCGCCAACACTTGCTCCACTAAATATAAAGAAAAAACCAAATCTAATTCCTATCAAGGTGATTATTCTTATCATTATCATTATTACAGTAAATCCCCAAAGTTCATCTCTATAATTATGCACACGCTGGCTCAGTTCCAAACTTATAAGCCTCTAATAATTTATTATAAATGCACACCACATGCTAAATGGTGATGTGGAGAATTTTACTGCATTATTAATCATCAATATAATCATCATCTTATTGATTTAGAATTTCATTAAGAGGGTAATTGACGGATTACCGTTGAAATATCGTGAACAGCAGGTATTAATAATGGGAAGATATCTTCCATTCGAAGCCCATTATATTGAAATATCTAATTGCTTTCTCATTCAAAAACATAGCCACATAGGAAAAATGTCGAAGATTTACTTAGACAATTATTTGTAAATCCAAAAGGACTGTAAGTTGTATTATTTAGTTCTTTTTATTTCATTTTGAAACTTAAACTTCTTACTTGACCTATAATTTTATGTCTGATAGTAAATTTGAAGAGATTATGCAACAAAGTAAATTAAAGCGCGTTCGATGTAACGAATATCTAGTTGCTCTTGTTCATGCAAAAGAAGTTATTAAAGAAAATATTACGGGCTCGGGACAAAATGGACAAATTTTCAAAATAAATCCAATAAAATATCCCTTGTTATAATTTATATGTAATAAAACAAGAGAATTTATAATATTAAAGTCACATGTAAATCTGATCATTTATATATAAATTCTGTGTTGCCTACATTTAGACATCATTGTTTTTGAAAAGAAGTAATGACTCTCGATACTGCCGGCAGGGTTTTTAGCATCGCGGGTAGGGGTTTAAAATTAGATACTGCCCAAGATGTTCAAGAGTTCGTCGATTCAATAATCGGAGCAAAAGACCTTGAAGAAGTCGTGTTGTGCGGGAATACCATTGGAGTTGAAGCTGCTCAAGCTATTGGTCGTGCATTAAAAGAAAAAACTGAGCTTAAGGTAAAAAAATAAAAAAAAATGCACGATGTTTTTTATGCCCTGAACATTCTGAGTCTTTAATTTTGCTAGAATAGCTAGAGGGATCTTTTTTCCAGAGTTTTTTGCATTACATTTCAATAGCTCTAATTTATGCAAATATTTGATATTTTAGGTTTTGAATGCGGCAGACATCTTTACTAGTCGGGTTCGCGAAGAGGTTCCTCCTAGTGTAAAAGCTTTATGTGATGCTTTAATTGACAAGGAAAAACTTGTTGAAATAAACTTTAGTGATAATGCCTTTGGACCTGCTGGTGCCGAACCAATGGTTGATTTCCTTATTAATAATAGATGGTTTCAAATTCTTAAGATTAATAATGTCGGTCTTGGTCCACGTGGTGGCAACATTATTGGAAAAGCATTACTTGAAGCAGCACGACTTAATTCTAAAGAGAATCGTTCATCGGCTCTCAGGACAATTGTTATGGGTAGAAATCGGCTAGAGAATGGTTCAAGTAAACTGCTTGCTGATGCCATTGCAGCACATGGGAATTTGGTAGAAATCAGAATGCCACAAAATGGTATTCGACCTGAAGGAATTATTACTTTTTCGCGAGGGTTTGCTGCTTGCAAAAATTTGGAAATTCTTGATTTACAGGATAATACATTTACTGATACTGGTTCTCGCGCATTTGCGGAGGCTCTTCCGAATTGGCCTAATTTAAAATTATTAAATATTGGGGATTGTTTGTTAAGTGGAGAGGGTGGTATCGTTGTCGCAGAAGCTCTCTTATTAGGGCATAATACTAAACTTCATACTTTGAATCTTCAGTACAACGAAATTGACAAGAAAGGAATCGACATACTGGCATCTGCAATTTCTTCCCATCTGAAGAGTTTAAGTTCCCTTGAATTGAATGGCAATAAAGTCTTTGCTGATGATGCATCCATCAAAAAGGTCATCATGTCTTTAGAACTTCATGGGTTTCCCGAAGCTCTCGGTGAATTAGACGATATGGAAGTTACGGATGAAGAAGACAACGACGAAGAGGATTTAGTGGAACTTATACCCAAAGGTAAAGAACCTATTTTAATTCAAAAAGAGGCGGAACCAGAAGATCTGGAAGATGTTGAATCACCATCAATACAAAACAAACGTCAAGTGGAACAACTAACTGAGGATTTCTCTAGGATTTCTCTTTCCCCTTAGAATCGAACAACGGTAAGTAATCAATTTATGCTCATTTTTTCATAAATATATTTTAATTGTCATTATTTTTATCCCCTTGATATTACTATTCAGATTGTATTATAATATACCTTATAATTTAAAAATATATATATATATATTTATATAGCTTGAATAAATATGTAAATTAAAAAATCATATTAGATTAGAATTCAATATTATATTATAGTTCAATAATCTTAGTATAATTTTATATTATATAGAGATCGAATCAGAACCCGACGAAGGTAATATTAATATTATTTTTAAATTCATTTATTAGGGAGTATTTTCAATTAATTTCTAAAGCAAAAATTTAAATTAGCTCAATATCCTTTGGTTCTTTGCCTTATCCTGACGACGAAAGACCATTTTTGCCGGCGGCATTCACCAAATCTACATCAAGTTTATTTTAGCACCCCCTTCCAATACCCTTTTTTTCCCTTTCATTTAACAAAAATAATAACCCATTTCATTCTTTTAAAATTTCTGAATAGTGCATACAAGAGAAACTTTTGATGATTCCCACTTGAAATCAAAATACGCCATGTATATACAGTCTTACACAAATCTTCATAATTTTATCTTTTTATTTGTCTCCTTTATCACAATTATATTTTTCTGATATATATTAGTGATGAAAAGAGAAGGATTGACATTCTTTGCAAACATCAATATCTCTCACAAGGAAGGAATCAGTGATAAGAAAGGTTAAGCATTTTTTAGGTAGTAGATACCAATAAATATGCAAGAGAAGAATGTTGCTTTATTGAAAATATAATCCTTTGAGTATTTATTCAAATGCATACCGATCTAAGATAGACTGTAAATTTTAGAATTTCACATATTATTATCACATGATACAAGGACGACTCGCAGCGCAGTCATTATGAATCATTATATACTATAATACAATAATTTACTGCTCTTAATATTACAATGGCCGACAAAGAATTAATTAGTCTTTTCCAGTCTATAGGTCTTACAGAACAACGTGCTAAAGATACCGCGAAAAACAAAAAACTTGCACCTACATTGAAACAAACCATAACTGAAGCTGGTTTTAACGAAGGTTGTGATAAAAATACCGGCTCTCTTTTGTATACGCTCGCTTCTACCATAACCAAAGATGCAGCTGTTCATTTGGGATATTTGGCGCGTGCTATTAAAGACGAAAGATTGAAAAATGCTGATCAAATTGCAGGTGGGAGTTATATACATTAGCGCTTTATCATTGTTTACTATTATAATAGTTTTTTCCGCGTATAATTTTTGAATAGCGGCGATAAAGTATGTGGAAAGTGTTTCAACTGAAATCAATGAAAAGGAATTCAATGAAAATTCTGGAGTTGGTACGTTAAATTTCTTTTAATATAAATTTATCTTTGGAAAATCAGCATCAAATTGTAGATGGGGCTTGCTATAAATTTATACTGTTTGATTCTAATTAAAGGTGTGACTGTTACCCCCGAGCAGATCAAAGAAGCGATAGCTGCTCATATCGAGAATAACAAGGAATCGTTGATAAAAGATAGATACAAAGTCCTTGGGCCATTACTCGCTCAGGCTAAACAGATCCCTTCATTGCGGTGGGCAAATGGGGTAGCAGTCAAAGAAGAATTGGAGAGACAAGTCGTGACTTTGATTGGACCCAAAGATGAAAGGGATATTTTAATTAAAGGAAAGGTAAATGTCACACATTTATTTAAAATCAATTATTATTTAATAATCACGACTAAATCATATGTAAATTAAAAAGAAAAAGGAGACAAAACCAGTAACATCCATTAAAAAGGATGGCCAGAAAGTAGATTCGTCTACAACATCAGACCCCAAAAAAAGCACCGTTCCTAACATGTTTTTAGAGGGCGAACTTGGCAAACTTCATAAACCTGGTGGTAATAAACAAATAAAACCAGAATTAATGGAAGAACATTTGAAAGCAACGGGTGGAAGAGTAATTACACGTTTTCCACCTGAGCCAAATGGATATCTTCATATTGGACACGCGAAAGCAATTAACGTAAATTTTGGTTATGCCAAAGCTCATAACGGCGTGTGTTACTTGAGGTTTGATTGCTTATTTTTGAACAGAAGTGTACTTAATGTCTGTCCACTAAAATCCTTCAAAATTTTGCTATACTAGATATGATGATACGAATCCCGAGGGTATTATAAAATATTCATTCATAAACTCTGTTTTGTCTCTTTGATTCTTATAATTGTTTTACTGGATTTTTATAGCCGAAGAGGAAAGATATTTCACCTCAATTAAGGAAGCTATAGAATGGCTGGGATTCACCCCATGGAAAATAACCTATTCATCTGATTATTTTGACAAACTATATGAACTCGCAGTAGAATTGATCAAACGTGATAAAGCATATGTTTGTTATTGTACTCCAGAAGAAATGCATGAGATGCGAGGTGGAGATAATGGTGGTGCTCGAAGTGAATGTGTCCATCGAAATCGACCGATTGAAGAATCATTAATTGATTTCCAAAAGATGAAAGAAGGAAGATTCAAGGAAGGTGAAGTAACACTACGCATGAAAATGGACATGCAAAGTGGTAGTCCTCAATTCTGGGATCTGGTTGCGTATAGAGTCATGTACACCCCACATCACAGAACTGGAGACAAATGGTGTATATACCCAACATACGATTATACACACTGTTTATGTGACTCTTTTGAAAATATTACTCATTCACTATGTACTCTTGAATTTCGAATGTCTCGTGAATCTTATTATTGGCTTTGTGACGCGTTGGAAGTGTATAAACCTGTCCAATTTGAATATAACAGGTTAACCTCTTTCTTTTATCTTTTATTTATTGGTCGTCGTGATTTTTTATGACAATTATTTTTCTGAACTGTTTTATAGATTAAATATCAACAATACTGTCATGTCAAAACGTAAAATTGCAAAATTAGTCCAGGAAAAATATGTTTCAGGATGGGATGATCCTCGTTTATATACACTTCCTGCATTGCGTCGGCGTGGAGTCCCTCCAGAAGCAATAAATGGATTTGTTCAAGATCTTGGTGTGACTTTATCTAATTCAACAATTCAAGTGTCTCGTTTTGATAAATATATTCGGGATTATTTGGATGTTCACGTTCCACGTCTTATGATTGTTTTGGAACCACTCAAATTAATAATTGAAAATCTGCCCGAAGATTATGAACAAGAGTTAAAAATTCCATTTAAACCGAGAGATTCCTCGATGGGCGAGGTGAGTCATTTATTAACAGTGGACACTAGAATCGAAAGCAACGTTATTTACAATTGTTTTTATTTTTGATATTAGCATGTTGTTCCATTCAGCAAAATTGTTTATATCGATAAATCAGATTTTCGTGAACAAGACTCTCCGGATTATTTTCGTCTTGCTGTTGGCAAAACTGTTGGCTTATTATATGTACCACATCCTATAACATGCATTGACGTCAAGAAGGACGAACAGGGTAACATTCAGCATCTAATATGTCGTTATGAAAATGCACCTGATACAAAAAAACCAAAAACTTATATCCAATGGATATCCGAGTCCAAAAAATACAAATCACCAGTAAAACTCTCTGAGGTGCGTATCTATAATAACCTTTTCTTATCGGAAAATCCAGCCGCACATCTCGGTGGATTTTTGGCCGATATTAATCCTGAAAGTTTAGAAGTTGTCAAGGAATCATTGGCAGAGGTGGGAATTCGTGAGGTGATAAATCGCTCCATAGAGCAAACAAAGAGAAAGGAATACGAATGTGTAAGATTTCAAGCAATTCGTGTTGGCTATTTTTGTTTGGATAAAGATACTAGACTCGAGGCGTCAACATTAGAAGAGGAGAATCTTGTATTGAATAGAATTGTTACTTTGAAAGAAGATCCAAAAAAAAATTAGTGATTACTTGATTCTTAATTTAATGTTAATTAATGTGGTAAGTGAATTTAATAACTGTAATACCAAGAATCTAAACTGTGAAAGTTCAAGCAAAATTTCTCAACGCAAAAACTGTAATTCAATAATTTTTTAATGTATAATTTTTGGATATAAATACAACCAATCATAAATACCCATGATTCAAGTTCACTCTAGAATACATATAATAATGTAAAATATGAATATAAAATTAGTAAAACATCATATTATCTACACGAAAAATGCAAGTTTTTTTTTAAAAATATTTTGCGGAGTGAGTCAAAATATTTGATTGGACGGATAAAGGTCAAGAAGTCAGAAAATAATGTTTTAATTGATCTCAATAAGATAATTCAACTTAAGAAATAACGCCATTCGCCACTATTCAAGGCGTCGAACTTGATCTTGAAGGGCCATATAGGATCCTTTCCTACGACAGAAACATAAAAATTTAGCACTTGAAAAAACAACAAAGAAAAATAAATTCAGATGCAAACCAGTGAAAAATGTATTAAATTTACTATTAATTTTGGAGATAATTATTTAATTGACTTACAAAAGTATACTTGAATCTAATCTAAATTAAAATTGATTTTGCTCAGATAAAGATTAAATTATAAATAAGGTTCGCCAATTTCTTATGGCAAAAAAATGCTTTGCTTAAGTATGCTCATTAAGACAATGTTGAATTTTCATTTTTGGTGTTATGATAAAAAAACGAACTTCATTATGGTATCAACAGCAGAAGCTTAAATGTCATAAATTTATCCCCAAAATTAATAGTGAATTTTTTCATTGATCCGCATCAGAACCACTAATTAAACCAATAACTCACAAAACTTTTAAAGAAGCTTCTGCGATGACCTGGACGTTCACGTGGAATATTTTTCGTTAATTCTGTAACTCGTTTTCTTGCCATTTCATGACCTTGTTCAGCAGCTCTTCCATACCATTCTAGAGCTTTTTCAAGATCTTTAATAGTGCCTCGACCATACTCATAGCACACACCAACTCGACATTGTGCAGTAGCGTATCCTTTTTCCGCAGACCTTTTAAAATATTCGAAAGCTTTATTTGGGTCTACAGTAGTCCCGAATCCAATATCGTAACACCACCCGACGTTGTTTATTGCAGATACGCATCCTTTATTGGCAGCGTTTTTGAAACAATCAAATGCTTTAGGAGGATCTTTTGTGGTACCCGTTCCTTTATAGTAACACCATCCGAGATATATTTCTGAACGTACATCACCCAAATCTACTGCCTTGTGGTAATTTTGAAAAGCGATATCGTGATCACGTGATTTTCCGATTCCATGTTCATTCATAAATCCAACAGCAAAATAAGTGTCTTGTGTTGGATGTTTCTCCATTAAGAACAAGTTAAGTAAATCACTTGGTTCAATTCTATTCTCATCGGCAAATTGAATGAGTCTTCTTGACATTACATCATCAGACACATTTTCCCAATCAGCGAAAATATTTAACGTATCTTCAATAATTCTTGCTTCGACAGTTTTTGCCACGTAAGTTCCAAATTCAGGTGATTTTGGTGTCTTTGGTGAACTCACCAGGGTAATTTGAGATTCACCATCAGTGTTAGTGCCGCTTGATGAAGGAGGGGATCGTTCCTGTGCTCTTTGAGGTGGTTGGATCGGTTGGGGAGGTTCCGAAATAGTTCTATGTAGAATTATTCCTAAGTTGTTTGGTTTTACCGCTTTCTCTTGACTGAGGTGTGACTTTTCTTGAATATAATTATTATTTTCTTGTACTAATTTTTCATTTGAAACAATTTTCTCCTTCTCGGTATATTCGTCAATCTCTCTCTCGCTAGCATTTGAACTTCCAATTGTAGTTGAAGATGACAATACTCGAGTATGATCGAAACTGTCCATATTATTATCAGAAAATTCTGGATCTGTGCCTTTGTTTGATGAATCTTCTTCATCAGAATAAAAGTCAATGCGTAGACTTCCACCATCATCATCACAATACGCAAAATCTTTGAAAAAATAACCAAAGAAATTAAAGATTTAATTATAATTAATATCAAAATATTGCACAAGTTATTATTTCTCTGTTATTTACCATCATCGTCATCATAGAGATATTCCAGTTCAAGACTAACAGTAGTTAACTCTTTTCGTTCCTGAGGATTATATTGTATTAATTCGAATATCAGTTGAGAAAAACCCTCAGGTGTGGTTTTTGGTAATTGGTTCATTAATCGTAAAGAAGATTGTGGTGATCGTTTCTCCTCTCTTATTTCATCATCATCCATACCATCATATGGATGATCTCCGTCTTTGGCCACTATAAAAACCATCACGTATAGCTCGATTATTATTGACGAGTCATAAATGATCAAGTCTTTTTCAAACCGCATAATCATTACCTGACCATAGAATCAGACCATATGAATAGACATCCGATAATTTAGGAAATCTACAATTATTAGTAAATGAATAACAGATAAATCCTACAATAAGACTGATTTTTTTTAAAGAACTCGAGCATACCTTTCAAAAAATGCTCGCATCTTTTCTTCACGACAAACACGTTCAGGAGCCACATAATTTAACGTTCCACCCGCCTTATTATTATCCAGTTCCATTCGGGATTTCGTTTTTGACACTCCAAAATCCGCCAATTTTGGTACACAATTAGCACTCAATAGCACATTTTCGGGTTTCAAATCAAAATGCACCACATTTAAGTTATGACAGTGTATTAATCCGAGTGCGATATCCCGGCATACTTTTGCTTTCCATTCCCAGGTGACAGTGTTAACTTTTAGGTAGTTTGATAGATTGCCATTTGGGGCGTATTCCAACACCAGTGAAAATGTGTGTCTGTCTTCTCGTACCACTCCATAGAATTTTAAAAGATTCGGGTGGTTTTGTAGCCGAAAATAATTGTTGTATTCTTTTCGAACATCGATTTCACACTATCCAAATTCAATTAATTTTAATTTTATTAGTTTTATCGGGAATTTTACAGCCAAATAAAGTAATAATATAAGCAACGTAAAATGTATCAAATACCAGACTTTTCTTTATTACAACTTGTTTTCCTTGAAAAGTTCCCAAATACACTTCTCCCATTGCACCACGCCCGATAACAATGGGCGGCGAAGACAATTGGATTTTATCTTTTCTTATCGAGACTTTCTTTGAATTAAACATTTTTGTCGTAAAATATACTATCTAATTTTTTTTTTAAGTGCGATAGTATTTTCCGTTTTTTGACTTCGAGATTTTAGGTTTAAGGTAAGAGAAAAGAGGAGTATGTAGGACAAAATGAGCTTGGTCAAAAAATAACAGTATTGGCTGAAAACTCGTCGGAGTCAGGAGAGAAAAGTAGAAGAGTGAAAAGTCGACTAACCATTTATCGAAAGTTCTGTGTCAGCGTGATTGTTTGTGTCTGTCAGCATGAGCGATATATATATGCCAATCGAACATTTGATAGAATAATATCAAATATAAATAGCATAGATGAACGCGTGGGTAATATACATCCTGATCACTTTTCTTTGTTTTTTGTTCATACTAACACTACTTCTACGTGTATCTTTTACGCACATAAACTACACAAAACTCCAAAAGCGTAAAAAAAACGCAATGTAGATTGACGCAATCTCACTTTGATGCTGTTACGCAAACACATTTATCCATAGTTCGAGGAATAATATTTGTTATATTTTTCCAAAGTGATTTTTCCTTTTTTGAGGGAGGTTTTTTTTGAAATCACTCGATTTCACGAAAATATAGACTACGTGTACATAACTATGCATGCGATCTAATCTTTGAAAGGGAACTTTCATCACTTTGTCGTAATCACTATCAAAAAAAATTTTTTTGACAAATCCCCTCTCGTGTACGAATATCGGTATCGATTAAAACGTCATTATTTATAAACATAAAGTTTCCGCAGCACTTAAACTATGAAAATGAGCTTTTGATACGTTGGGGGTGTGAGCAAATTAGATTTCGGTGGTGTCAAAATATTGCCGAATTATCACTCAATTTAACTTTCCCTTTGATTAAAGAAAAAAAAAAAGTCGCTTCAATTTGGCTTTGAGGTGATTATTGAAAGTTTTGTGACTGCACATGTAATCTGGTTAATTAAGCTCGACTTGTTGCTGAAGAGCAAATGGGATTAATCTTCGACATTAAGCGTAGATATTTTACGCGAAGGTTTGGTTTGCAACATTCTTATTGAATAATGTTTACCAGCCGAAGCAAAAGTGGCCGGTAAGCCACAAGTCTAGAATTACACTAAAGCCCCGACTTTAAACTTGGAATGGTGAAATGAGAGATTTGAGGACATAAGTTACAACATACCAATTAGTGTCTTGGGGAATAAATTAAGTAGAATTCTCTAATGCATAGACGTGAAATAGTAATTCGAGAAAAATTTGTTATCATTTCACGCTCAGCTAAGGATTGCAAATATTCTTAAATAAATAGAAAGCCAAGAGGGAATACATAGATATATTAAAAGTCCAATTCGATTTTGTTGCGCTGACTATTAGCAAGAAAAAAAGATCTATGAGGGTAGGCTATTTTTAATATTTTTTTTTGTAAATAATGATAGACTTATGTAAGAGGCACATGCATACCTGCACCAAAATTAAGTATCTTATGTAAGCTCCGAATTATATTTTACTAAAATTGAAAGTAAAAGATGATGAAAATTTCCTTTTTTTTTTTTTTTTAATTAAAAGATTGGTAATTATATTTGCAACTTAGAAAGCTTAAAAGGTTAACAATGGCTTAAATTTTATTTTTACATGAAATCTTACTTCATACTACGTATAAATTACTGTGCAAATATCCTTTTTTTTTCATTGATTTTTTTAAAGATTTGAATGTAGAATTTCAATATTATGATTATTAGAATCATGAATAAACTCCGATAATAATGGCATAATGTCATTGTTATTATGATAATTAATAGGATCGGAAGAATAGCTGTGGAAAGATGTTTGTTGTTGGCTTGATAGATAATAATCGAATGATAATAAGTCCGGGAATAGTGATAGATTATTTGGCGACGAGTATAGCATCGGTATTGGTTCTTCAGATAATTGATGAGGAAAAACGTCATCATTAAAGTTAATGATATCATCAAAATTATTATTACTAAAATAATTATTATCCCAACCATTATTATGACTATTATCATTATTATCATTATTATTATTATTATTATTACTATTATCACTATTATCACTATTATCATTAAGATTCTCTTCTTGTTGATCTTGTATTATTTTTTTGGGCTCATTATTCCAAACAACGGTAGGTTTAAAATATGCAGGTAATTCTTCTCTAAACCGTATTTGGGCATCTTTAGCCAGCTCCCTATAATACCGTTTAACTTTCTCGGGTTCTCTTTTCCAGCTAATACCTGCTAATTTTGAGACTTTAGTCTGCGGAATTTTGCTCACGTCAATTGTTTTATTAATAATAATGTTATCATTGTTATCATCATCACCGTAGTAATCAATTGATTGTAAACTCGATGGACGAGTTTTCAGAAAATTGTCAAATGCCCAACGATACAACATCCATTCGTTTGGTGGTTTTCCACGTCTTGCACTGTTCTTGGTTTTCGCGAGTGTTTTTGTGAGGTAGAACTCCATGTCGAGGTGTGGTGGTGGAAATGGCATTTGAATTGATGGTAATGCTTGGTGCATTGAAGACGAGGACGCTTTCTTTATTACTTTAGGCATTTTTATTCTGAAATAATTTTAAGCTCACTTTTGATACAGATTATTCTTTTCAAATCGAATCTTCACTTTATTCAAGAAAAAGAGGAGATATGAACTATTTATAAACTTTTTCTGCAGATCCTCCTTCAGAGATTATTTAAACTCTGAAACAATTTAAAGTCTATTTTCTTCAATCCCTACAACGAGACGAATAAGCTATTTAAAGAAATCAAATAGTCCAAAATTTTGTTTTTTTTTTTGAAATTATGTTAGGTGAGACCTCAAAGTAGAATTATTTGTCATATGGAAATTATAAAAATAGATATTTCAAAAGAAATCATACTGGTTTATTATTTTTAGCACATAAACAAACAAACGATGCATCGTATAAATTTAGGAAAGATACTCTCTACATTCACGTTTGTTTTATTTGCCACACCTTAACTTTACTCGATTGAACGATTAATGAAGGGAAAATCCAGGATTAATTTTCTTACGTGGCTAAATTCGGCCTAAACTATTTGATAATAGGAATATATTACTGGCCTCACTCAAGTGGCGCAAAATCCCTTCGTCGAAGGCTTTAATATATACCCGGCAATTTTTGATGACAAATCAACAAAAAGCGGAATTAAAAATTCGACATAAAACTTAAATGAATTTTCAATTTGTTTCTTCAATTCCATTTAAATCGAAAAAACATCAATTATATTAATGTCCCGTAATTTTTAACGAATTAAAAAACACAAATATCCCATGCCTGTTTGCAGAGAAAATCACTCTTTACTAGTGGGATAAATGTCAAGTTTTTATTTTCAATGTATAACAAAAAATGTATAATGCCCAACTCGGTTCTAGAACCGATTCATATAAAACCGGTCCAGTTCTCTGTTCGGTCAAACCGGTATATCTGGAAATTAACAAAATCGACCCATCTGTGCAACTATGTGCCGCTTCGCTTGAGGGTATGGACGTTGTCCAGTGATACTTGGCGGACGCGAGTTCACATCCGCAGGGCACGGACAAGTCGATCTCAACCTCGGTCCGTACATTGGACGCGGACTGTTGTTCCTGGATGGTAATATAACGTCATAATAAATGATTATTTGGTCTGACATTTCTCAAGTCGAGGGTATCTACACGTCACGGCAATACGTCACATTTGACATAGAAAGTAGAAAATGACGTATGCCGTATATGCGTATATAGTGTCGTATGATGACGTGATATTTGACGGCAATTCTTCAGGACATTATGCTACGTCTTCTAACGTCATAGTCGTAGTAACCACCCTGAGAAATGTTTGCACCGCCCGCCAATATTTAATGATTCGGCTAAACTATTTTTCAGATTCGGCTAAACTATTTTTCAGATTCCTAAAATATTAAGCAGCATCCTAACGTCATACAAATTTGGGCCAATCCAATAAACGGGATGTCGTTCATTGTCGTTTATCGGGGGATTTTGAATTGTCGGACGTCGTACAGGATGCATTTACAGTGGCATGCAAAAATAAAATAACGCACCACTTGCATTGTCGATCTTTAATCTCAATCACGAAAGATCCGACAAACATGATATATAAAACTAGTTATTTCAATAAAAAACGACCTGATATTATTATACCCAATTATGGACAATAATTGTTAATCCGTATAAACGATGGTGCGTTTTTTTGCCGTTTTTTAAATAAAAATCTTTTTCGTTTAAAATTTTATTAAAAAAAATAATAATCGGATAAAAAATT